GGTGCTGGCGGCGGGACGCCGGCCTTTGCCTGTGGAGAGAGATGCGACGCGTGTGTTCGAGTGCGAGAATGAGTATGGGAGCCTGTGGGCAAGTGAATACGTGACTGGCTGCCAGTGGTTGTCGATGTGCGTGGGAGTGCGACCCCCTGAGAAAATGCGGGGAACCTGGAAGCTGCGGTCGGCAGCCGGTGCCCCACTTGTATGTCCTCATTCTGCGGAGGGCGCATTCAAACCACTCGGCTCAAGATGTACACTCAGTCATAATCCTAGCCACCCCGGCTCCGTTACAAGTCGTGCGTGCATGCATGTCATTGATCCCATGACGTGGCGTCAGGTGCGGTGACTAATGGCAGAGAGCGAGTGCCAGTCATCCGGGAGAGGGAATAGTGTAACTTCTCTAGGGCCGGAGGCGTAGCGCCGGAGGGCCAATGGACTTTGCACGTGCATCAAAAAATGCCAAGCCAAAAAAACTACAGTCAAAGCGAGCATCCACAGCTTGTCATAAGGCCTTGAGGGTCGCATAAGACAACATAGGCATTTGGGACCACCCTGACGCATCCAATTCCAGCCGCGCGGCCTGCGAACCAGTCGTGTAAGCTGCTCGCTCTTCTCCCGGAATATTTTCTTCCCATCTTCCTTTTTGCTGAACTTCAAGAGTCCATCCCAGCCACACCCGTTTTCATTCGCATGCATGCACAAAACGTCGGTCTTACGATCGAAGGATGTCAGACACATGATGTGTAAACCCAGGCGCGTACAACAAGGACCTGCGCACAATTCATTGTTTTTTTTTTGGTGTCGATCCTAATTCGCGGTGCGTTGGGGGAGGGGGGCATGTTTTGAATTTGAGCTGCGCGTTGGCCCGCAGGCAGATGGCTACGAGGGCAGGATAGAACGACAGCTTTTGTCCACGGTAAAACGCTTTCTATGCATGCATTTTGATGATTGTTTGGTCACTATACAACATGAGGGATGAAAAGAAATCCCTAACAAAGAATTCACAGCATTTGGGGAACGTGAGTAAGCTCGCACATTGTAGGCAAGGAGGTCGATCCTTTTACGAGTCTTAAGCGAAATTTTCTTGATTTTCTATGTTTGTAGGTTATCAGCAAAAGCAAAGTTTTTTTTTCAAGTTCTTTTCCATCTATGTATCTAAATGAATTCATTTCATTTTTCCGGTATACGTTTGATTATCTCGTATTGATGCAAGTGAATTATTAAGGAAGCGCACAACTTCGTGCTCATGCAAGGCACAAGGATGCTAGAGAAACGGAAAAACCGAAGGTTGGGCTCTGATATCCCTATACGCTCATTGAGCCCGGCAGTATTGGGTTTAACAATCTTCGATAGAAAATGAGGCGTGCTTGGGCCTGCAAGGCTTTCGTTTCAGGTTCTGGCAGAGCGAGACTCTCACAGACTCGGATCCGTAAGAGATATTTCGCACTTCTCGTTCCGCGTATCTTTATCGACGTGCTTAAAAGAATCAAAGTTTGCGAACTGTAAGTTTTTTACTGCTCAAAAGCATAATTTTAATGGTGTGCGCTCTTTTGAAAGGTTTTCCCCAACAGCGGAGGGTCGACAACTCTCACGAAGGAGTCGCAAGAAAAAAAAAATACTGATGACAAAAAATTCCACCTCGACTTCACGTGCAAATAATCTTGACTCAAAAAGTAATTGACGGGAGCAGATTCTCGATGACCGCGTAGGACCATGCTTTGTGGATTAAGTGACAGGAAATGCGCTTTCCCAGATTCTGAGAACCATGTCAAGCTGCTGGGGCGGAGGGAGAAGAGCGAACAAGGGGGGAACGTGTCTGGCCATTTGCTGTGGGGGTCAAAACCCAAAACTCTGCGGGGACAGGTCGCCTCTGTTTCGCTTGGATCAATTCATTTAGATTTGTGCATTTTCTGAAGCCACACGGGTCGTTGTACGACGGTGCTTGTTTGTGTGGAAGCTGCGCTTGAATTTGACGCGTGACGCTTCCTGAAAGGAGAAGCTAGCGTTTGAGGCGAGCGGCCGTGAGAGATGAAGCAGCCTCAAGTGTAGACTTGGGCCATTTCGTCGAGAAACGCAGGCCTTTGAATTGCCACAATGAGGTAGCTGTAGAGGCATCTGTTGTTGGAGCTCACTCCGGCAGGTGCCATGGAAAACTTTAGATTAAGACATAAATTGAAGCCATTCCTTGTCCCGGACGCCTTCTCGATCTTCTTTTGGACAAGCGCAAACACTCCCCACATCAAAATTCTATTTTTCCGCGGACAGGGTTTAGAGTTTGCTAAGGGAAAAGATAAGGGATGAATCAACCCGGTGTCATCCAGTCGGCGCTTGTCGAAGCAGCCAGTCTTCATAAGGGAACTCGCATATTAATAGATCCCACATTGGCCTCCATCTGCCGAAAGCAATCAGACCTGCAAGGCCAGGCCGGCGTGCTTCAAGAGGATGTAACAGCATGGTCAAAGACTGTTCGCGTTCGTTTTGACGGAGGCAAAGCAGGGCGAGTGGAGGTGGAGGCCATCAGGCCAACAGTCAGCATGACCACGGAGCATGCGGGCGTGATGTCGAGTGGAGGAGAGGAGGAAGCAGGGGGTGTGGGGCACGGCACCAGTGACAAAAAAGAAGCGCGGGGAAACGGGAGGCCTACTCGAGGCTCCCGCCGGTCCTTGAACTCAGCCACTTCCAGTGTGTCCAGCTCACTCGACTCCGACGTTCCCCCCCTGCCTCCCTTGGTGCGAAGAACGAGCAGTCGCGGCGCTCAACCCCCGATTCCCATGGATGAGGAGGAGCGAAGCGAGACTAGTGGTGAACCAGGGGGAGGGAGGAAAGGAAGGGAAGAAAATGCAGCTTCAGAGGCTCCTGGGACGGGAAATTCGGAAGCGGAGGGAAAGGCGCCGAAGACAGAGCGTGGGAGCCCCACTGGGAGCTGCAGCAGCCACGTCAGCAGCAGGTCCGGTCCAGGGAATGGCACACACAGGGGCGAAAAGGTGGAAAAGGGGACGACGAAATTGACGGAGCTGGACCCTGAGACGTGGGTAGGACGGCGGGTGCAGTTCACGC